TGATTGTCACAATAGTTCAAACTTTTATTATCATTATGTTTGTTATGGTGAATCTGTGATCAGCAATCTTTTATGTCATTATTGTAGCTGTTTTGGGACAACATGAACCACGCCTATATAAGATGGCAAACTTAATTAATAAATGTTGTGTGTGTTCTTACTGCTCCACCAACTGGCCATTCTCCTATGTCTCTCTCCCTCCTTGGACGTCTCTGTTCCCCGAGACACAACAATATTGAAATTATGCCAACTATTAACCCTACAATGGCCTCTAAGCATTCAAGTGAAAGGAAGAGTTATATGTCTGTCACTTTAAATCAAAAACTAGAGATGATTAAGCTTAATAAGGAAGGCATGTCAAAAGCCTAGACAGATTCAAAGTGAGGCCTCTTGTACCAGTTAGCCAAGAAGTTAATGCAAAGAAAAAGTCCTTGAAATAAATTAAAAGTGCGATTCTAGTGAACATACAAGTGATAAGCATGTGAAACAGCCTTATTGCTGATAAGAAAGTTTGAGTGGTCTGGATAGAAAACCAAACCAAACACAGCATTCCCTTACCAAAGCCTAATCAAGAGCAAGACCTGAACACTCTTGAATTCTATGAATGTTGAGAGAGGTAAGGAAGCTGTAGAAGAAACATCTGAAGCTACAACAGGTTAGTTCATGAGATTTAAGTAAAGAAGCCTTCTCTATAACATAAAAGTGCTAGGTGAAGTAGCAAGTGCTGATGTGGAAGCTATAGCAAATTATCCAGATAAAGCTAACATTATTGCTATAGGCTGCTACACTAAACAATAAATTTTCATGTAGATAAAATAGCCTTCTATTGAAAAATGATGTCATCTAGGACTTCCATAGCTAAAGAGAAGGGGTCAATTCCTGGCTTCAAAACTTCAAAGTACAAGATGACTCTGGTTATGGACTAACACAGCTGATACAGCTAATGCTCGACTTACGACCACGATTGGCTCCAACAGACCGATCGTAACACGATTTGGTTGTAAGTTGAGTAGGCTATATGTACAGTACTGTGAAAAGTTGTTATAAAAATCTTTAAGTCATATTTTATCATAATTTTCTTTCATTATTGTTATATATCATAATTTTCTTTGTTCATTTTATGCCATTTTTATCATCTCTGCACCATTTTGTTTCTTATTTTTACATTCGTCAGGTTTAAGTAAACACTGCATTACCAGTACAACTGGTTTAATATTTGCAAAACATACAAAATTACAAAATACAGGTGCATACAAAAATACAAAATACAGGTGCAAAAAATACCATAGGTAACATTTTCCCAATTGCAAAACATATCAAAATATATAAACATGTACGAAACATTTTATTGCCGCTGGTGCTTGGCTGCGGATCGTTGATGTCGTCATCTGAGGCAGTAGTTGGGGTTACCAGAGTTGGTTTTTTCATAAACATGGTGAGCTTTGCCTGAATTGTATGTTTCTTTTTTTCTTCATAAATTTCACAATACGGACGAAACACATCGTGCGTCATCCGTTCAATCCTTGCAAATCGTTCGATGTTTGGGTCCATTGCTTTGAAATGTATAAGAAGTTTATTCAGCAAAGATAAGCCGTCTGATAATCCCTTAGTGGTGAACTTTCTTTCTGGCTCCTCCTACTGTTTCTCTGCTTCTGTTCTTTCTTATTCCGCCACTTTTTCTTCTTCCAGTTCGATTAGCTCTTCATTTGTAAGTTCTCTGGATTCTTTGTCTAGCAACCTTTCGACATCTTCCATTTCACATTCCAAAGAAAGGTATTTAGCGAGTTTTACTATTTTTTCCCGAATCATTTCAAGTTCATGTTCACTGTCAAATCCGTCAAAATCATTAACATAACGCTTAACACAATTTTTCCAGATGCCATTCATGCACTTTGTCGTCACAGCCTCCCAGGCGGTAGTGATATTCTTGATACACATCAAAATGTTATAGTGATTCCCAAAATCTTGCAATGTTAGTTCTGAGTCAGCATCTATAGCGGATATTGCTTGAGCGAAGGTGGTTCGGAGATAGTTGGCCTTTAATGTAGCAATCGAACCTTGGTCCATAGGCTGGATGAGTGGAGTCGTGTTTGGCGGAAGAAAAACAAATTTTACATCTGGATGGAGATTGCCTAGATGTGGTGGGTGTCCAGGCGCATTATCAAGTAGCAATAAAATCTTGAAAGGAATATCTTTCTCCAGACAATATTCTCAAACTTGAGGAATAAAACAGTTCATAAACCAGTCTTCAAACAATCCTTGTGTCATCCATGCTTTATGTTGAGAATGAAAGTAGATGGGCAGTGTGTGCTTGTTAACGTTCTTAAACGTCCGCGGGTTGTCCGAGTGATAAATTAAGAACGGCTTTCAGGAGGCTGAGGCAGGAGAATTGCCTGAACCCGGCAGGCGGAGGTTGAGGTGAGCCGAGATCGTGCCATTGCACTCCAGCCTGGGTAACAAGAGCAAAACTCTGTCTCAAAAAAAAAGAACGGCTTCAGCTTAAACACTGCGATGTTCCCGCCAAGCAGCAGAGTTAGCCTATCCTTAAATGCTTTAAATCCCGGCATGCTTTTGGTCTCTTTGTGAATATAAGTGCGTGCTGGCATCCGTTTCCAAAATAATCCAGTTTTATCAACATTGAAAATGTGTCCTGCTAGATATCCCTCAACTGTAATTAATTCATCCAGATTATCAACAAACTTACATGCTCCTTCCTCATCCGCACTTGCTGCTTCTCCAGTCACTCAAACACTATGGATTTGGAATCTTTTCTTGAATCTCTGGAACCAGCCAGTGTTTGCTACAAATTCTTGACTGTAATCTTCTCCAGCATGCTCCTTCAGAACTGAAATAGACTTCTTGCCTTCATCTGCACAGTAAAAAGACTTAACGGTGTCCGTTTTTGAATTTGATCTTCCATCCAAATATATAGCAATTTCTCCATTTTGTGGATGGGCCCGCTTTGTTGCTTTGTTGTAACTGTTGATTGCATGGTTGCAGAACCTTTCACAGCTTCAAGAATTCTTTCTTTATCTTTCAAAATCGTCAACACAGTCGAGTGTGATAACTTCGTATCACGTACGATCACATTCACTTTCTTTCCTCCTTCGTACTGCTTAATTACCTACCTTCATTTTCACGTGGAGATCAATGGCCTTTCTTTCCTTCTTAGCAGGCTGAGGCATAGACAAAGACAATTTCCTCTTGGTAGACATCTTGGGAGGGGTTTGATGAAAAATGTCCAAGACACAAAACACAAATTGCTGTACCGAGTCTGGGATAACAGTTGAAATGGTGCACGCGGAGATGGTAGTGCTGCCGGAAGCTGGTCTGCACTGTCGTACGCCCAGCTGGGCAACGTTTGCTGCCAGACGTGGAGCAGTCGTGGCTAGTGATGTGGTTGTAAAGTCGAATGGTCGTAAGTTACATAGGTCGTCAGTCAATCAATACCTGTAATTTAAGTCAGAGACAATGCTCATTTACCATTCAGCAAATCCTGGGGCCCTTAAGAATTATGGTGAATATACTTTGTCTGTACTCTATAAATGGAACAACAGTCTGGACATCAGCTCAACTCTTTAAATGTGGTCCACTGAACATTTTAAGTCCACTGTTGAGACCCACTGCTTAGAGAAAAAGATTCCTTCAAAATATTACTGCTCGTTGACAATGCATTTTGTCACCCAAGAACTTGATGGAGACATACAAGGAGATTAATGTTTTCATGCCTGCTAACACAACATTCATTCTGCTGCTCATGGATCAAGGAGTAATTTCAAATTTCAATTCATTATTTAAGAAATACATTTTGTAAATCTATAGCTGTCATAAATGGTGATTCTTCTGATGAATCTGGGAAAAATAAATTTAAAATCTCTGTAAAGGATTCACTATTCTAGATGCCATTAAGAACATTGGTGATTCATGGGAAGAGGTCAAAATATCAAGATTAACAGGAGTTTTAGAAAAAGTTGATCCAATCCTCATTAATGACTTTGAGGTGATTAAGACTTCAGTGAGGAAGTAATTGCAGGTGTGGTGGAAATAGCAAGGGAACTGGAATTAAAAGTGGAACCTGAAGATTTGACTGAATTGCTGCAATCTCATGATAAAACTTGAACAAATGAAGAGTTGATTCATGTAGATGAGCAAAGAAAGTGATTTCTTGAGATAGAATCTAATCCTAGTGAGGATACTGAATATTGCTGAAATGACAACAAAGGATTTAGAATATCACATAAACTTAGTTTATAAAGCAGCAGCAGGGTTTGCAAGGATTTACTCCAATTTTGAAAGAAGTTCTATCAGAGGTAGAATGCTATCAAACTGCTTCATGAAAGGAAATCTTTCATGAAATCTTTCATGAAAGGAAGAGTCAATTGATGCTGCAAACTTTATTGTCTTATTTGAAGAAATTGCCACATAATTTTCAGCACTATCACCGTCATCATCAGCAATCATGCACATTGAGGCAAGACACTCTACCAGCAAAACAATTATGACTTCCTAAAGGCTCAGAGGATTGTTACCATTTTAAAGCAACAAAGCATTTTTTCTAAGTTGTGGTCTCTCTCTGTTGCCCAGGCTGGCGTGCAGTGGGGCAATCATAGCTCATGGCAGCCTCAAACTACTGGACTCAAGCAATTCTCCCACATCAGCCTCCCAAGTAGTTAAAACTATAGAGGCATACCACCATGCCTGGGTAATTTTTTTCTTTCTACTTTTTTTTTAATAAATATGAGATGTCACTATGTTGCTCAGGCTGGTGTTGAGCTCCCAGCCTCAAGAGATCCTCCTGCCTCAGCCTCCTGAGTAGCTGGGGTTACTGGTATGAGGCACTACACTCAGCAAGTATTTTTAAATTAAGATATATATATATATATATATATATGCCTACATATATATATATATCTTATATATATATATTTTTAATTTGTATATATATATATATATATATATATATAGCAAGAGAGAGAGACATAATTCTATTGCACACTTAATAGACACAGTACAATGTAAACATAACCTTTATATGCACTGGGAAACCAAAAATTAGTGTGACTCACTTTATTTTGGCGGTCTGGAAACAAACCCATAATACCTCCAAGGTATGCTTGAATAAAGGCAGAGAGAAATTGATAATACCAGTAAGGGAGGGGAAATGCAATGTGTCTCCCTTTGAAAAGTAAATTTTCCACATTTTTAGAGATCTCAAGAGAAATGAAAGAGAAGAAAGAAAGGAGATAACAAAAATGAAAAAGGGAATTAACATTTTGGTTCACCTTATTGTTATTTCTCCCAAATTCTGGTTTATCCAAGTTGCTTCAGGTGCACTCAGATTCAACAAACATTTAACAAATACTCTGTGTCAGGAATTTTACTAGGTATATATCCTTAACATACATATCCTTGCCTGGAAGAAATATTGTTTATAAAGCAAAGATACATACATAAAAGTGAATTAAAGTGACATTTGTGTACATATTCTCATATTCATTGTCTCATTTGCTTCTCAAAATAACCTAAGGAGATGGAGAGCCCAGATGTTAATTTTTTCTACAGATGAGAAAACTAAAATTGAAAAAACAATTGAGTGATGTTAAATATTGCATTGTTAATTGAAACCCAAACCCAAGACTTCTGGATGAAAGCCAGAACCAGCTCCACTAAAGCCTAAAGTCTGCCATGGATTTGACTGTGGATGTGCCACCCTCACTTTTTCTGACAATTTGGGACTTGACTTAGAAGTCGATGATACCTTCAACAACTTCATTTTCTGAGTTTCTTGTCAGATGTCATGGGATGATGTATATCTGTTACATTTCCCAAGGACAGGGTGATGTGTGGCCATGATAACTTTATGCAAATTGTATCCAAGCAGCTCAGAGTTTAGAAACCTTAAAGACAAAAAGGTGAAGAGGAGACAAGGGAGCAGAATATTCCTTTTTTCAAAACTTTGGGAAGGTGATGATCCAGAAACTAATAGTACTGCATATTCATTTTCCCATCTCTGTTGCCAGCTTTGACCTGATTATAAAGGAGAAACAGAGATCACTTTTTCTCCTATCTTTTGTTGAATTTGTTGAAATTGATGCTGACTACTTTCATCTTGATTGTAATGCACTTTTTTCCTATATAGGCTCATTCTGGGCATTTGTCATAACATATCTTTAGGATGGATTTGCCTCCATTTTGCTCATTGTTTCATGTCTGTAATACAAACTCTAACCATTGATAGGGCATTTTTCTTTTGATTCGTTAGCCTATGAATGAACTAGGTAGTTCCAGTAATGAAAAAAATGAAAGTCACCTTGCATGTATCCCATAAAATTTGGTAATTGTTATTAAATTATGAAAAAAACATCAGAACTGCAGTTATACACTCAAACACATTTCTGCATATTAAGGTAATTATTATAGTTCCTGTAATCATCTTTTACATACAGTTGTTTAGTTGTTTTTACACTATTTCTGTGTTGTAGGAAGGTTAAATATAATTGTAATTTATAGATTTTTTTTAAGTGGGCTATGAAGAGGAACATGTTGATGGCCATGCTTCCAGAGGAAGGCAGTTCCACTAAGAGGCCCAGAATGAAGAGAGGGGAAAAAACGTTCTTCTGACTCTATATTCCATCCTTTGTGCATTGTATTTTTCATAAGTAAAAAGGTTCTTCCAAAAAATTGAATGCCTCCCCCATCTCACCACCATGTCATCCCCACATTCCAGCGCTTGTTTCAGTGTTTACAACACTCTAGCTCCTTGGTAAATTTACCATTTGACTCTACCTATTTATATTTCTGCCATCTTTTATTTGCTCCTTCCTAATTTGAAAGCTTTGGCTCATAGACCTGCTTTTAGTGGGATTTTCAACACAAGAAAGGAAGTATTATGCAATACATAGCTTTACCCAAATCATCTAGAAATCTTAAGCCACTGAAGAAAGTAACCCACAGAGCTCCTTATGGATTTGATTCCACTGAGTTCCATACAGTGGAAATTATATGCAAGGAGAAGTAAATATCACCTTATCCAATCCCTTCAGTTTAAATATGAGGAAACAAAGGTCCAGATAGGCTAACTGACCTCCTCAAAACCATTCTAATTTAGCACCAGACTCAATTCAACGCATTGTTTCTGGACTCCTACCAATGTAATGTTTTCTTTTTACATACTGCAAAAGTTGAATCTTCAATATGTAATAAGTTTTTTTCTTAAGCTATGGTACAGCTTTTAGGAAATAAAAAAAGTTCCTAAAAGTAAATACACTAAAAGTATGAGGTTTATCTTGTCTTTGTACATAGTGTTACTGAGTTCAGAGTGTTGCTATATGATGATGTCAATGATGATACTAGATTATGGGATCAATTTCCTAATCATAGTCTGCATACACCCAGGCCCACCTATACATTTTAACATAATGAACCTGATGGAACTTCAAATATAATTCTCATTATGTAAGGGTGAATTTATCATTCCTAGTTGGGGAGAAAATGGCCTCAATGGCCTATTGAGAGTACCACCAATTTTTACACAGAAGTCAGCAACATGGAAAAATAGAATTTCACAGAAAAAAAGAAACCATGCATTGTTAATGTCTGGAAATTATGTGGACTATTAGAGATGTTAAATTAACCTGATCTTTTCCCCCAATTAAGTATAAAGCATAGATATGGTGAACTATTTTTAAAATGTCTATATTTACCAAAACTGGGGTCATGGGGTAAAAGAGATAGCCTTAAGGACTGGTGAAGAACATCTTATGGCCTAGAATAGGATAGAAAAAAATATGAGGAAAGAAATGAAGAGCATTGTCTCAACATTGTCCCCTGCACCGAATAAACTTTAATTAATATTATTTGAACAAGATTATATTTAATACCATTATAGAGTCTTAAATATCACATAATACAATCTTTGACCACATGAAAAACAATGACGTATATTATAAGAGGCCTGTAAATAATTTCAGAATATAAAGATATTGCAAATGTAAAATGTCTGTAAATATAAGCAAACACATATATCTAAATATATGCAAACACACAAATGTGTCTCTACCAACTCCCTAAATCCCACTGATAATGATAGCAAAATATAAAAATGAGAATAAATCAGGAGTTATATTAGAAAACATTACAAAATATTGTCATCAGGTTTGTTGAATTCTGGAAGATATAATGCAGATGGAATCTAATTGACAACAAAATCTAATAGTGCTGAAGAACCAGAGGTACAGCAAAATACAACAGTTAATTTTCCCACAGAATACTAGACTACAAATTATGAAAGAATGTCTTCCCTATTCAAAAAAAATGGGGCTTAATATCCAGGTTATGGGTTGGTAGGTTCAGGAAACCACCACCACACACATATACCTATAGAAAAAACATACACATCCTGCACATGTATCCTGGAATTTAAAATAAAATTTAATTAAATTTTTTTAAATGTTTACAATGAGAAATTAGCAATGAGAAGTTTTGCACATTAGAAATATTATGATCATAATTTAGCAAAAAGTAAAAACTTTATTTTGGGTACAAGGACAAATATCCTTTTGGTGAGTTTTCCACAATTGGAAGATTGCATTAGATGTTATAAATAAGGGCTACAAGCAAAGAAAGTTTTCTAGAGACATGCATTTGGATTAATGTGGGAATAAACTTGAAACTAAAAGTGTCCTATTTTTACTGTTAATAATAAATACATTCAAATATGTTCAGTGTATGACAATAGATTTATAAAAGAAACTAGCACCCTGCAGCATTAAAAATAGTATTTAGGCCAGGTGAGATGGTTAATTCCACTTTGGAAGGCCAAGAATGGAGAATTGCTTGAGACCAGGAATTCAAAACCAGCCTGGGCAACATAGCAAGGCTCTGCCTCTACAGAAGAAAAAATTTAAAAATTCACTGGGCATGGTGATCCATGCCTGTAGTACTAGCTACTAAGGAGGCTGAGGCAGGAGGATTGCTTGAGCCCAGAAATTAGAGGCTGCAGTGACCTATGACCATGTGACTGCATTCCAGTCTGAGTAACAGAGTGAGAACTCATCTGTAAAATACTATAAAATATAAAATAAAATAATAGTATTCATTCATTTTTAACTAAGCCTTCTTTCAGAATGTGCTAATGGACCACGAAGCAGTAAACATTTAGACTTGTATAAGCACTCTCCCCTCTATCTGATTCTTTAATTCTCTGATCTTTTTCTGTGTTTGGATTTGATACTTGCTTCACTTTCTCATTTGAACACTACATATATCAAGTTTGGGGAATCCATTATTTCTCTTCTTTAGCTCTTTGTATTAAGAATCATACTTAATTCTAATTACAGGCATATCTCAGAGGACAAAAGCATGGATTATTTATGCCTTATTTGGAGAAGAAAGCAGGCATTTTATCAATATCAGCCGCAATTTTTCAATGAGAATATTCTTGATATTTTAGAAATGAAGCTATCAGAACAGTCTCCAGGTTTCACCAATTTGCTAATTCCTTATTAAAACACAGTTTTTAAATGTCTGCCATTGTGTTAAGTATCATGGACATGGATATTTCAAGCATGCAAATGTAGTTTGGGATCTTATTTGTACTGTGTATCTTCAGCACCCAGCTCTAAGTCCCCTTACAAGTTGTAAAATCGGATAGTCATGTACTTTACACTGCTAACTAGATTGAAAGCTTTCAACTTGAATCCTTAGGAAGTTATTCTCCCTCTTACTACAAGACTCAATAGAGGAGGTGAGAAAAAAATAGGAAGCTTTATTGATGATCTTTAATTCATATCTGTAGGTTCCAGGTTCACTTTTGATGATAGTCTTTAATAATTGAAGTAGAACAAAAGCTACAGTCTGTTCAGAAGGCCTATATATATATATTGAGGAAGAGTTTACTAAATTCTTACTAACTTTCAAATAATTTTCACTGGTACTTTAATTTTCAATTGTAAAAAGATACATTTTGAAAAATAAATAAGTAACAGGTAGCTCATATTTCAGGATCATACTACTGACACCAACATTAGATTGCTTTTTTAGTGACAGTGAAGAATTTGCATTACCTATTCCATGCTTTCTCAGAGCATGACTTGAAACATCTAAAAATCACCT